ATTAGCTTATTTTAAAATTAGAAAGCATACAATTTTTAAAGATGTAGCATAACTATAACCTGCACCAACTTTCTTCCTAACAGGAGCGTATTTACATGCATTTTGGAATATCAACAGATGAAATGACACCAGAGGTAACAAAATGTGTTACGAGAAAATTACCCCACTGCCTACATATATACACAACATCTGGTGCAAAGCCCATTGGTATCAGAGTTTTTAATGTCTGATGATTCTGTGTCCAATCCACATGTAAGAAAAAGTGCATATACAAATACTCAGGTCAAGAGACAAACATTAGAAGCTATAATCATATTTATTTAAAAAAGTGATATCAAATACAACCATATATATTTGTGCCTATTTGGAGAGCATTTTCAAAATATCAAACAGCACTGCCATTTTCCAGTCTAAACAATGACAAAGCATTTCAGCTTTCCTTTTTTAATCTTTTCAGTACTATATGCTTTATATACACAAAATAGAGACAAAAATTGTATAGGAATCCAGAGCCAAAGACATGATACTGAAAGCAGATCCTCAAGACAAAAAAAAAAAATCTATTACTGAACATGATTTCTAAACTACACAACTATTAGGCAAAAGGTGAAAAAAAATTATTCCCTTAACAAAATCCTAACTCTACACTGTTTTGTACACATGGGTTTTCATGTAGCAAAAAATAAAATTTTATCAATGCTTGCATGCTTTAAAGACAGCATCAAGGTTTTTCTCCCTTTGTTTTTCCCTCCTGCACTGGCATTTAAATATTACATCCCTTTCTTTCTCTTTTCCAAGCTTCCCCTCCTCAATTCACATAGTGGTTATATACTGGGGTGGGAGGGGGTAGGGGAGAGGTGGTGCTGGGCATGTAAAAAAAAGAAGAAAATCCAACACAGAACTAAGTGTAGTAATAATTGTTTGCTTTTTTTAAAACAAAGGAAATAAAGTAAAAACATTTTGATTTAATAAAAGCAGCTGAAAAGTCACATTTACTTTAGTAAGATTCTGAAGACCTGTAATTGGGCAAGGAGGTGACTATGGCAGGATAAATATGAAAGCAACCCTTCTAGGTGTGAAATGCAAATAAGGCAAAATGTGTATATGCAGGATAAAAAAGTTTATTGCAAAACAGCTCATGCTTTTAAGATGCAAACGTGGATACCATCCAAAGAAGATATTCATTTGAAACTAAGGAACTGAATATTTGGACTGGGACAGTTCAAATATATTAATATGAAATATTGTCCTTACATGAATAACTGATTATGTGTATGTGAGGAATGGGTATGTATCTATTACCTGTTACACTTCAAACAAGAAAAAATTGAGTGTAACTACAAAGATTTCCCAGGAGCTGTTTGTTTTATGCAAGAAACTAATGGCTTACCAAGCAAGCTACACAATTTTATATATAAGCCCTTAAAAAAAGTCTTCACTTCAGTTTTTATTTTCCTTGGATTCTTTTTCCAATTCCTTTAACATGAATTGTACAATAATATCTCTTTATAAGTCTGAATAATAGAGTTCTCCAATCCCTTTCACCACATTTCTCACTAAAAAGGCTACCATTGGTACATTTTCGTCACTGTGTTTGAAACAGTAAGTTCTGGACAATTTCACAGATATTTGAACAGTAAAACATTCATTTTTAAAAGCCTAATTGTCAGTTGTGTAATAAAACAAAGCAGCTTGGAAATGACAATATTTGTCTGAGATACAGAAATAGAACGGTTTACAAGACATGTGCAGAAGCTATTTTAAATTCACCACCATTTTATAGATTTGTAATAGAAGCAATAGCCCAATATTAAAACACATTGGAGATTTAACTTAGTATTATTTTTAAGTAGTCTGCAAAGTTATTAATTATGAAAAAACAGTAAGAGTATATTAGCTGAAAGTTACATGTAGACTTGAAGTCGTTTGAAGGGCACAAGGAGCCCAAATGTTGGAAACTAAGCCAGTATTGTATCAGAGTAGTTTCAAGTCCAGAAAACTGAGCATTGAAATAGCTTGTATTTATACCTGCTGTGCCTAACAAGAACTGCATTTAAGCATAATTGCATTACAGCACTTTTTCCTTCTGCCCTCATTACAAGACCATGAAAGCAGTTTCCAAGATGACACTTGCAGAACTAATTTTGGAAGATAGTGAATGTAAGTATCACTCATTCCCCCTGCACCTTTGATTTCCATAGGCAGGATAACACAAATTATGTCACAGGGACTGTTCACTGTGAAGAAGATGGTAAAAAAAAATAAAATCTGTTGGATGAATGAAGTCTGAAACTCTCTCAAATATCATAATGTAATACAAAAAAAAAAAAATCAAGTTCCACTCCTTTATAATGGACTTTGACCTAAAGCTACAACATGAGGAAAAAAAAAAACCCTTCAGCTTGACAGAACAGACAACCCTAGGAACAGGCTGCAAATTAGTAAGTGCCTTACGAGCATAGTTCAGCCACGCTGAAAACTCTTATCACTGAAAGAATGCACAACAAAAAAGGAGATTGGCATTTTATTGACAGCTTCCTGGCAGGTCCACACATTTTGAACTTTAGGACTGGGTTATAAAATACGTACTGCTAGCAATTAGCATTAGTCTTTTCCTTTGGTACAATTAACATATTTTGCTTAAATTGCTACCTCTTAACTCCTTGACTAGGCAGAGAAACACCTACTTCACTAAACTTGACCTTCCCCCGAAAATCAAATTGGTATCTGTGGAGTGACACTGTTTCTACACAGAAAAGAACACGGTTAGCCCTGTAATGACTGACACAGTTGTGCTTTTCAGGCACTGTTACTTTATATTCCCCACATATTAAAACACTTGGGTGATGAAGTGACTTACAAAGTGACACCTAAGTACAAATGCAAATCTCCATGCTTTAGTGATTATAAAAACATGTAATTGTCACAAGTTACAATTAACGCAACAGGGCTTAGATTTTCCTTTAATATAGGGCAGCTATGCTATATCGCTATAGAAATAATACATTTTTATTATATTCTTGTAACAGAAGATAAAAGGTCCAAGTTCTGGTATTAAATTGCCAGTCTATACCTAGTTATAAAAAGGAGAGTCTTATTTCAGAATCAGTTTATGGCACAAAAAAAAGGAGGGAAGTTAAAGCTGTGGATCATTTACAGATGAGCAAAAAAAAAAAAAATCAGTGCTTTACAGATTCCTGTTTTCAGTTTCATGTAAGTTTTAAACTGAAAGCAGAAATTTACATCCTGAAAAATGCAGCATTTCAAAATGGCATATGCATACATGGACTTTTAAAGCCAGTGTTCAGTTGTATTAATTTGAGACATTACAGATATTAATGATAATGCGCATGACAGGATTATTTGAAAAAAGACAAAATTTAAAATTAGTTTTTAAAAAGTAGTGCAGCCTCACATACCAGTGGTTCTGGTGACATTGGTGGAAATTCCACACACAGGTAAGGTAAAAAGAATTTAGCCCAATTATGTATAATATAATAATATCCTAAGCTATCAAGAAACCATTGCTGTAAACAAATCTTTACTGAGAGGTAAAAGCCCTTTCATGTACAGTACTACTTGATGCTGAATGTATATTTTCATCTAGCTACCATCCCTTTCATACTCATTTTAATTAAATGTTACTACTGTGCAATGATATAACTTTAGAATATTTTGATAAAGAAATTTGGAGTTATCTTCAAAAGATTCTTAGAATGCCTGTGCTAACTGTTAATGCATTAAGTGGACTACAGCTTACATACTCTATCTACAACATATCTCCATTTAATTTATATGTAAACAGAGTTTGTATTTCAAGCACCATTTAGGAAAATGAAACATACCTCAATCGTTGCACTGAAGTTGAAAGTCAGGTTTGGTCACCCCGTTTTACACATTCATCCTGGATATCAAAGCAAATGTCTTACAACCAATAGAATAAGCTCTCTCACATACTTTGCTCCCCGATTTTGCTCAGGATCAGAAATAGCATGATAAAAAATTGTAAGGTGCGTGAATAAAGGCCATTCCTGAAAAAGCTGCAACATTCTGACAGACACTCATAAAAAGCATTTCAGAAAGAACATCCACACAGACATAAATATTCATTATTAAATGAGCTACTTGCACAGGGTTCATTTCAGACTGCAGGAACACACCTTGTGTGTGTGGCACTGACTTTATGGCACCTAAACACCCTCCTCCTTTCTCCTCGACTCGGTTACAGCTCTTTCATACTGAAAGGGCAGAATAAAAGGTTGAGCTTGAAGAGGAAAACAAGACTCCAGAAGAGGTAGAAAGGAAAACCTGTTTAACCAAACTCATTATACACTACTACTTTTATAATAAAGACAATGGCATAACTAGAAAAAGCATAAGAAAACAAAAACAAATAAAATACCCAAAGCAAAGGCGGCAAGTTGTCTGTCAAAAGATAACAGGGCAATGCAAAAACCCTACTTTAAACATGGATCTGAAATGTTTACAGTTGGAAGTAAAACCTACAGCTTGAACTGAAAGTAAAACAGAAAGTGTTAGAAAGTCAGAAGTCACTGAAAGATTCAGGAATAATAATATAATCAACAACACACTGAAGATTCTCTTGAACTGCAAAGTATGAAATTTATGTATTCATGTTTCTCCTGTAAAATGGGTAATTTCAAAAGTGGACAGAAGAATCGAGAAGTTGACATTAAGTAATTCAGAATAAACAATCACAAAATAAATTATCTAAGATAAAGAGAATTTAATTATTTTCCCATTTTAAGTGATTTCTTATAAAGAACGTAGTCAATTATGAGAACAACTTATTACTTGTATCTATTTTTCCATTAGTACTGAAGGAAATCAGTCGATGCTGGTTTTCAGCACCTTTAGAATTCTTCAAAACAATTTAAACTTGCTTTTTAACTGCAAGTTACAGCTGCTGTACGTGTCTAGGTTTGTTCATGTGAATAGTTTAAGTAATTTTAGTACAGCTACTCTTGTGTGTTTTGTAGTAGGAGTGCTACAGTTTTCTAAATTAGTGCAATCTTTTTTGTACTTGCAGGCTCCCTCTAAACGCTGACCCTGACCCCACTTCCTGCTCCCAGAACTCTGAAATGAACCCTGCTTGTGCAACAACCACACAGTAAAATTATAATGGAGACATAGTGTTTTGACAATAAGATGGAAAAAGGAAGTTATGTCATTTCTCCTCTTCTTTATTCAAGTGGTTTCTAACAGATTCCAGAGACATATTCATGGCTGCTTGAAGCATGTCTTCTTCACTCAGATCAGCACCTAAAGAAAAGAAATGCATATACCCTGTAATAAATGCACAGAGCTACTTCTCAACTGTAGTTAATTCTTTACTTGTTCCTTTTGTCCACACCCACCTCATTTTCCATCACCAAAACTGTTGAGGTTTTTTTGTTTGGATGGTTGGTTGTTGTTTTTTTTAAATAATTTAACATTTTCCACTTAACTTTCCATCCAGAATGGCCAGTTTGTAACAAGTAATACACATTAATTTTGGATCACCAATACTTAATACTGCTAAGGCCTAGATACTACGTTCTACTGCAAAACGCTTCCAGTAATTTTGTCAGATATTACTCCAAGTTTATTACATTGTCATACAACTTTAAAAGTCCTTTAGGAAACAAATTGTTGGCACAAATCCCAAAGATTACAATTTGTAATGCTCAAGTCAAACAACAAAAAGCAAAGCCAGAACTCAAATGGTCTAATAGTAACAACTCTTCATTCTGAAACAGGATATTGATATTCAAAGCAGAACAGGCTTTTCAGGAAAGTGATCCTTTGCTTGACTGCCAAAAGGAGTAATGGCTGGGATACATAGTCTGAATGACTGCTGGAGTGAGGAAGCAGGCAGACAAGGAAAGTCAGGAAACAGAGCACAACACAAAGGTGACAGAGACATCAGTATTTCAGTGTTGGAAATAATTCTAAATACAATACCTGGGTCAGCTTCCAGAGTGCTTGAGCTTAGAGTTGGCTTATTGTGTAGATTTGGGGTCTGATCTTGCTGCTGTAGCTGTTGTTGCTGCCTGAAAGCATTATAAATTTTTTTAAGAGAATAAGATTAACATCAGAATGAGACCTGTATCAAGTCTGTTTCATTGCAAGGAAGGCCAAGAGTGAGAAGTAGAAGCTGTTTACTACAACAACACTCCTGCACCTAAAGTCTCTTCAGTCATTTCACCCTGCTAAGCTTAGGACGCCTTTCTTCCCAGCATTATATGTCAAGCCACATTACTGTTTTCCCAGAACTCAGACGCTCTGCATTCTGATCTTCTCATGCAAAGTCTAACTCCTCCTATCCATAGCATTTCTCCCTGGTCTTTATTTTCTGCATCACTAGGATAGAGATATAAGGAAAAGCTATAACAATACCCCAACTATGTATTAAGAAGCTACTCCCAAACAGCAACATAAAATATCATCTAGAATGCTTTCATGTGATGCACATTAGAGCCATCAATACCAAAAGTAAAGTCTAACAGAAAGAATAGTTTTCTTCAGGAAAATAATTACATACATTTACATTCATTTAAAATACTTCTAACATTACGGTTTTTTCTTCACAAGGCTATGTTGCATTACTAACAGATCCCCTCTTATTTACAGGTTTCCTTTCTTCATAGGAACCCTCTGGGAATAGCAAAATTCAGGTACTGTTAGGAAAACACGTTCAGAAATAAAAGTTAAGCTGGTCCTCAGTCAGAAACCCATCCATGCCCCAAAAGCACTGAAAAATAATGACATGTACTTCCACATGCAATTTTCTGTCAACCACTTTACTTTTCAAAATATGCTTGTCTTCTCCTTCGCAGCTCTTCTGAAGAGAGGGAGTCTGTCTGACTGGTGTGAGGCGACTGAGGAACATCCTGCGGCAAGGAGTCCGAGAACTCACTTTGACGACTACCTAAAAACAGAAGATGGCATATCCTACTAATTACAGTAAAACGAAGTTAGTAAATTAAATACAGCTTAAGAAAGTATCTTCAAACTTGAGGGGAAGAAAGAGACTTGTTGGAGAAATAAGCACCTAGGCTAACTTCACTTGATACTGTCTCTCCTCCATACCTTGGGACTGTTTGCCTTTCCTCCTGCCACCCTTTGTCAATTTATTCTTGCTTCCTAATGATCAACACTAACATGAAAGTGGCAACTTTTCAAAAAGCAGAGAGGAGATAGCTACAAGAAATTCTGGATTGTCCTTCCATGCCTCAAAGCCAGTCTTTTCAGAAAGCTTGACACATACCGGAAAAAGTGGCTGGCAAACTGATTTCAGTAGCTGCCTAACACATAAGCAACACGAACAATGTAAGAGAAATTTAGATGAGGACTGCACCTTGCATGCTGAGTTGGATGGCTCTGCGAAGATCAGCTTCTTCATCTTCCATATCAATTTCCTGTCTGCTTAGAGCCAAGGCTCTCTGAAAATTCTCTTCATCTTCATCTAACATGCCTGTTCCATCAAAAGGATGGTTAACTTCTATTGCTTGGTCCACGTCACTTCTGGGTAACCTGTGAAATGGATACATTGATGGTATGGAAATTATATTAACTTTTACTTTGAGATTTAAAGTAAATATTTTCTGCTGACTTAACTCTACTTATTTTAAACTTTGAAAAATAAATTCTATCGTGAAAATCTGTTTTATAAACAATTATTTTCATTTCTACATGAAAAAGTACAGAAGAGAAAATGAAAATACTGCAACTCTAAACCCATGTACACATTGACAAGAAACTGTTCGATAGCAAAAAACTTCATAAACATCACAGCTACAAAAAGTGGTAATACACGTTCTTTGAACCTACTGTTACTTACACACCAGCAGAAAATAGTGCATGTGGTCTCCTCTTTAGGAAGCTTTGATGACCACAGCAGAGCAATAGATTCTCTGTAAGCTATACACAATTTCCACGTTACTGCCAAGCAGTTTTTTTTTTATTCCATCAATTTACACCAGTTTACCTTTACAAAGCGGAAGAAATAATAATGAATAAATTCATCTGAAAAGCCTTGAGGCTTTTTATCAGTATGCAACTTACGCACTATAAAAATGTGATAAAATTATTGCAAAACCAGTATTTTATATGCTTTCAAGACTGTTTTTTATTAGTATGCACCACAACATTTACAGTGAAGTTACTCCAAAAGGGAATGTATGATTTATATGATGTGCAATTCAGATACGGGTTTCTCTTTCTTTTCTACTTCCAATGGAATGCACAAGCCAGTCTTAATTATAGATTGATCAGTATTAACCATAGGTTGGTGAGATTTTCCAACTCATTGTACTAAAATTTGAAAAATATTGTAATCATAAAGTTAAAAATCTGCACTATGCAAGATTAAGCACATGGAAATACTAAATCCTTATTAAGGTAGTTTTTGCCCACTTAAAACACCACTTGTATTCTACCAACTTACTTCTACTGCATGCAGCAGTAGTAAGCACATTACACTAAAGGTACTTCTAATTACATCTTCAACAGGGTTGCTTCCATGTAGGCATTCATCATGGAAACAAATCATACTGAACATTATTAAAATAAAAATCTCTCTTTACCTTACCTCTGATCTCTTGACTGTGCTGTCTCTTCTCCGATTAGTTTTGGTCGCTGCATCTGCTGTACCCGAATCATCTGCAATAGCTGATCAGCCTCACAGTCTGGCAGGTCACCTTTTACTACAAATATCGAATAACCTGAGAAAAATAAATTGTAAGTCTGCAGCATTAAGGTGCATGCATAAACACGCTAAAATGCACACTACATGGAACAAATTGATGTGCAATTTATTACAATGTAAGGCTCTACCTTTCATTAGAAGGACTTGGGTTATTTCACTAATTCAATCATAAAACTAAGGGTAGATAACTGAATACATAACTTCTAATAAATAATGATTATTACCTACTTTAATTAATGAGATTTAATATCTGCAAGTTACTATTACCTTCCTGTTGTAACTGAGCCAAGAAAAGTGCAAGATATGTATCTGATATTAGTTCTGGACCCATCAAGAGAGAGTTCAAGTTAAACCACTGTAATTAAGAAAAAAAAAAGTTTGAGAACAAATTAGCATAAAGATTACTTGGTAATCCATTTCTGTACATTGTGGTCATTTTCTATGATGGAATATCTGAGTAAATCTAGTAAAATAAATTATCAAATTAAAATCTTTTGAAGCACAATACCTATACTGCTAAAGGTAACCCTTCAAATACCCTACAGCTAACAGGAGATCTGAAGTGGGGATGTTACTGAACACTGGTACCAGGCAAACGGATTAAAACAGATAAATCAAAATGTAACAGTATAAGAATTATTTAAGCAGAATTATAGAATGATGCCTGAATCCTAGTTCTAAATCTGTTCAGAGACTAACGAAGGAAGAAACCCTTCATCAGTTAATGCTGTAACTTAAGAAATCAATAGATACAGGAAACAGAAGTTGAATTCTTTCCATGAAATACTTTCATTAAACATGCTGCCTTTAATAGCTGGTGATGCTGCAAACTATTGTTTACTTCTCTCTGAGATAATTTTTAAATTTAAAAATTAAGAAAAACTAACTCCAATTTAATATGCTGATATTACAGCATAATATTACAGTAGGGGACACTTGAGAAATATACACAAACCATTTTCAGTTCCTGAAGAAGATAACTAGTCATTTATAATACTTCTTCTAGAGAAAATATATTCAACCCAGATGGCAAAACAGTCTACTTTTAAAACTCCATATATATTGTAATCAATCTGAAGAGCCTCTCTCATACCACACATTCATTAGTATCCAATTTTAACCAGGAAGCACCATTTCAGAGAGCAGAAGGAGAATTCTATCTCCATTCTCACAAAAATGCATTTAACTACCCCAACTTCTATATATGCAGTCATACACATGCAATCAGGCCCTTATTATAATTCACCTGGAATACAGGAAGTGACCATCTACCACTGTGTCATTCAGTCACTTAATTTGTCAAAAACACCCTTTGCCACTAGGAAATGGTAAGACAACCAGCAGTGTAGGACTGGGAAATAAAAAGTTATGTAAGTGAATATGATGGACAAAATCCAAACTTTTAAAAGGAAATATGGAGGAAGATGGCTTAGTTAACTAATTTTGCTTTAACTATAATAGAAGAGAAACAGTTCAAATCTAAGTCAACCTATTTTATCATCTTTTATCATTACTCTCTAGATAACAGACACCTAGTATTGTCTTAATGAGGATAAAAGTCACATGTACAAGCAAAAGACATTAAAACATTTTGGGCTAGAATGATAGCTCACAAAATTTCACCCAACATGATTGTATACATCATAAGGAATATTCCTGTACTTTTAAGAGACCATGCAGCTTTTTCGATATCAAATATACAAAAATTGCCTGTAAACATTAGCCATACTTTTAAACAACAGCAGAACAGCAGTGTAGTCTGTTTACTCACAAATGTTGGGTTTTTTTTAATCTGGGTGACAACATGAGTAGCTACCCCTTGAAAAATGAACCAAATGAGTAGAGTCCTGTTCACTATTGTAGAATCTAAAATCTTATCTCATGAACATTTTCTGTGACAACAAAAACTCTGAAAAAACCAAACACCAAACCAGCTTATACTGTATGAAATCTTATGCAGAACAGTAATTGGCTACTGAAATAAATAAAACACTGCATTCATGTTACAGGGGACATGGATGTGAAGTGAGGTATTATATATGTGCAATCTATCTGTATGGCCATCCCTTACCTTTAATAACTATTTTCTGCTTATAATACCACTGTTTCAGAAAGTTTTCTAAAATAGCGCAAAGTTGTGATTTTACTTTCCCCAACCATATCCTGATGGATACTCATAAATACTAGCAATCATAAATATTAAAATATTTGAAATTTGAACTTTTTCTTATACCTCGTGTCAATTTAAGTGAGCAAAATTATTTTTACAATGTCAATAATTTAGTGCATTAAAATAAATTTGCAATCTATAGGGATCCTAATCCTTGTCCAGGACTTTTGCCTCTCCCCCTGGACAATTTTTCTGCAATTTTTCATGCAGAAAAGAAAGAAAAGAGCTTAAGAAGCCACATGGACTCTACAAGAACTGCAGCTCCCTGGAGTCTTTCCCTAGGCTAACCTGCATAAAAAGCTGCCTGGCATATGTGTGATACAACCAACATATATTTTTTCTTTTTGTAAAATAGAGGTTACTATTAAAGCAAATTGCAGCAAAAGCTTGCAAAAGGCCAACACATGGTCTACTCGCAACCACTTCTCCACCCCCATTCTGAAGTCAATTTTTAAATAAAAAAAGACAGTGTCACCTGTTTTCCTAACTTTCGAACTGTAAACCAGTGTTCCTTATAATTACAAATAAATGATTTTTCATTTCTGTAAAAAGAAAAACAAAAGGTACAGACAAAATTAAATACTCTAATAATGGAGTGCATATTAATGTTTAAGTTCTTTGCTACCACTAATTTAAACGTATAGAATAAATTTGCAGTAATACAACTGCTGATGTTACAGAGTACTCATACTGCTTTTAAAACATTTAGGAAGTTGTCAACATTACCAACATCTCCATATACCTGTGATGCCACAGATACTGAGATGTCATGAAGGCACAGGGGACATATTCTCATACACATCACAAAAAAGAAAAAATTAAAGACAGGATAATAAAAACATCAGAATACAACAGAGCTCAAAATAGTAATTTTAAAGAAATATTTAAATCGTAGAGTAAGAGGGGTTTTTATTTTTCTGTAAAATGAAAGCAGGGTGCTAAGAAAAAAAAAGTCTTACATAGGGTCGATCCCAAGCCTCTGATACTCTGGGCTGTTGAAGAGGATTAGTTCTAAACCCCAAACTTTCAAAGCATTGCTTATAACCTGTCAAAAAATAGCACTTCTCGTAAGTCAAACCAGTCAAATCTAAATTTAAGCAATGCAGCCATCGCAGCTGATATAAACAGTTATACCCTCCCTCCCCCTCAGCACAAAATCATCCTTCCCCACAGCAACTACTGGAAATTTTACACCACCCCTTGTTACAGGATGAGTCAGGCACATTAGCACAAACTCTTTTCAAGTAACTCTTCAAAACTATCTGAATTAATGCTGTAAGGAATTTAAGATTAACAATTCATCTTCCTTCCAGCGAGCCAACTATGTAACAAGTGAGCAAAGCAATGACAGGACAAAAAAAAAAGTAGAACATAGGAAGCATTTTGTTTTCCAGCTTCAATGTTGAAGCAGCACAATCAAGAATAGAAAAAAAAGTCAAACTGTTAATGGTTTTCACCAAATAGAAAACAAGCCCTGCCCAGCCACAAGACAGACAGACTCTTGAAGGACTCTGGAACACTGAGATAGCCAGAAGTGTAAAGCATCGCCTACAGCTCTAGTCTAGACACAAGTCCCAGTTTCATGTTCAGTACCTTCTGTTGCTGTTGTTCTGGTTTAAGTATTTCTTATTAATTACTTTCCCTTTATGCTCCTTAGAATAGACAAGAAAAAGCCCAGCAGTAAAGTGTCTGGAGTGTTATAAAAACTGGACTGCAGATATTGCAGCTTTTTCAGTTCTGCAGATCACTGTGATAACCCCGTAACCACTAACACAGGCTCTACAGTCTGCAGTTTGAGAAAATTAACTCAAGTCTGCTTGTAGCCAAGGTCTACATCTGAAGCAGCCCTAAGAAGCCACTTAAAAATCAAGTTTATTGACAGTAGGTGTCATTTCACAGTTCAGGAGCCCATGCAGCTACTTTGTGTTTAAGGGCCCAGGAACTGAAGAATTGCAAGTCACTGCCTTAAATGAAAAACACTCTGAAGATCTGGAAGTCCTGCACTTAATCCCATTAAGCCTATGGACTGGAAACTAGAAGAAAAAGCTTGATGCCATTTTAATTTTATGAGAGAACATATATTGCATAAATAAAATATTTTGGTTTTGTACAGAGCTGTGCTTACTTGAATTGAGAAGAATCCGCTGTCATCCATATTTACAGAAGGCTGCTGCTCAGTGTGAGGTTGGGAGGGAGAAAAGGGAAAAATAGTGTAGACATAAAAGGTCAGAAATAATTCAGTTTTGAAAAGAAATATAACTTCACATACTTACAGCAACAACCAAATATGTCCTAGTCTGCATGGCTGATTACAATGCCCAAATAAGCTTATTAGTTAAGAACTCAAACCTTTACATTTCAAATGCTCAGTGCTTAAAGGACAGACAGGCATGGGAACTTCTGTTCCTATCTCTGCCACTGGCTTATAAAACCGAAAGGCAAATCAAGGATCCTCCTCCTCGCCAGGCTTGACCTTCCTACCTATAAGATGAAGATAAGGTAGCTTTTTGCAGGATTACTGTAAAGCTGTACTAGTAATACTTGAAAATGCCAAATTTGAGATGCATCAATGAAAAGGCGTATAAATTTAATAAGTATTAGCACTAGGATATTAACCTTCTCCAGGTATGCAAGAATAGGTCTGTGCTACACAATATTAGATTTCAGGCAAATATCAAGCAACCTCAAATTAAGATAATTTTACCTGTAAAAATGTTCTATATTCTTCACTAGACACTCCTCCCTCTGCCATTCTCATTCTTTCTTCCTCATCCAACTGCTGTGCAATAGAGGATAACTCAACAGGACTGAAATATTCCCCTTGTAGCAAATTATTCAGACAGTGCTGTGCACACAATGAGCCTTCTTGCTAACAATGGAAGAGAAGAAGATACCAAACACAACACAGAACTCACGTTAATGGTTTAATCTGTAAAATGACTCAACCGTTTCCTTCTGGCAAACCTCCTGCCCTCCCCACTCACCCAGAATGCCATATATTGTTCAGATGTATCAGACTGCAAGCTACAGAACATAACTCCCCTCAATTTGATGGAGGAAAAAACCCAACACAACAGTTTAGATCTCTGTTTCCCAGCAGCAAACATTTTCTGCAACATATGCTCTCCTTATTTAACTTTTCTTCCCTGCCAGACGTGGCTATTGGCAATCTGCTCTCCACATGTGGCTAAAGAAAAGCCGACCATTAAGACTTCAGAGAAATTTAAAAGTATACATTGACAGAATTTATTTCCTTCATTTCAGGTTACTCAGCATGTTCAGGCTATTAAAAAAATGTGTTTATTACTACGAAAGTGATTAGGAGCTGGAGAAGCAGTAAAGCTCATTTTCCATGTGAAATACATGCATGCAACTAGGTAAAAGAAACTAATACTACCAGCTCTAAAATCCTGATGATGATGATGAGGTGACAAGAATAAAAAAACCTTAAATTCAGCATGTTAAACAATGAAAATATTTTTGTTGATAAACCATTTAAATGAAAAACACTTCAGATGCTTTGTTAAATACCCAGCACACTGGAGATCATAGAAATGTAATATAACATTTTTAGACCCAAATTGAAAATGAGTAAATTAGAAAGTCAGTCATGATTTTCTAGCACAAATTAAAAATTTGTAGTCTGAATGAATGCATGTCAGACACCATCATTTCTGCAAGTGCAGATAAAATACTGCCTTGTTAAAAAAAACAACCCAAACAAACCAACCAACCAAATGACAGTTTCCTACGAAAAGCATCCCTGCTTACAAGTAACTACACTACAAGCGGAAGATGAGATTAAGATCAGTTTTAAAATCCTGCTTTTCTTTTTTATCCATTTTTATTTACATTAAGAACTCCAAAGTGCATGACCTCTATTAAAAATGAAACTAAAACCCCTCAACAAAAAAAACCAAGAACACCCCCCCCCCCACCAAACCCACAGAAACCAAGAGTACAAAGCGCATGCCTTGGAGGAATATTCTTTAAACTTCCATGAAAACCTCATACAAATCACATGCACAAATCTCCCATGATTGCCCTTACAGCAGGAACCTTCAAAGCTCCTTTTACCCCAGATGCCAGAGTTTTCCTAGTGCTCCATCACTCAACTGAGCAAGGAGTTATTAAATCTAAACTGGCTGCACAGGCAGGGTCCAACAGAATCCAGACCTGACACCCCCTCCAGCTCCCGTCCTTCCCACAATGAGAAGCTCAAGACTAAAACACCAGCTCCCGGCCCAGCTGCTGGTCATACGATAAAACTGGAACAGAAAAACTCACTCAAGAATCACACGTTTCTCTATGAGAAATATATTAAATTGATTTAGAAACAAGGACATATTAAAGTGTCTTTGAAAATGAGTTATATTATAGGCTTCAATCTTAATTTTACTAAAAGGACCATTCTGTATTCATACAGTTTTATCTTAAAATAATAAGCAAAATTAGTACAGATTAAGCAGAGTTTTTACAGACATTAACTTCATTTTGTGTGTGTGTGTGTGCGCGGAGAGAATACGGCATCATTCCATAATCTGAAATCCCCTTGCTGAAATCTATCCCGATATAAGCTGCTGCCCTGCTTTCAGAGTTTTCAACCACTCGTATCTCACCAAGGAAAGCACCAACTTCTAAGACAGGGCCTCCTTAAGCCCTACTTTGTGCAACTGTCATTCCCCTATTAAAAATGCCACATTGCTTAGGTCTTTGTTTCGTTAAGCTTCCATTATAAATATCATGTTTTTCATGCCTTTCTATTGGAACATGTGAGGTGTGCAGATTCAAGTGGGAGATGTGCATGGATATTAAGCACTTTAAATATTTTGACAGGAACTGAACCAGCACATTTGATAGGAGGGGGGCATGGAAAATACACTTTATGAAAAAAAACACAAAGGCTGAGTTAAATTTTCCCTAGAAAAATGATAAGATGATAAAAATATCTGTTACTCCAATTTAAAACAGGCATTCAGTTATAGCTTTCTAACTGTGTAACTAACTCACCAGGGAGCAGTTATATTTCACATGAGACACCTAAGACTGCACCATCTGCCCAAAACCTGTAGCAACTACAGATTTCAGTCAGCTTTGAACTCGGAATATATTATACTCTGTCACTTCAACGTCAGCAGACTTTTGTTATTAAACTACAAAGCAACTCCATCATCTCATTAAGTGATAGGCTAGGACAGAAAAAAGAACAGTACTCTTGCTTTGAGCTCATTTTCAAATTGTATCTGGAACTCAAGGTCACTGTAGCAGAGGCCATAATGGCTGAAATCCAACACTCATCCTCTGGACAGCAGCTCTTTTGCCACCCAAAGCAAGTTTGAAAGAACACTACTCCGCTTCTACAGATTTCAGAACAGTAACTTTTTTTTCAGAAAGTTATACAGCTATCTTGCTTTGTTTGCAAAGTAAACCAGGCATTATGCACAAGAGCAGCGTATAAAAACCAATGGTAATCTTAACACAATAGATGTGCAGAGCCGTTAGTAACTTATATTAAAAAAAGTTATATTTGAACATCACTAGAACATTAATAACTCATATTTGGAAGCCTGGATAAATCACAGCAATTCATCATAGCATTTGTCCTCTGAAACGGGAAGCATTGTTCAGCATATAGAAGAATTCGGGTTTCCTTAACAGCTCTCCCCTTCTCTGCTCGTTACGCGCTCGGAGCCAAGCCAGGCTGAGCGAAGGGATGTGTCTGAGCGCACAGGACACACCCTGCCTGAGCTGCTCAGCTTCACAGTTCTCTCTCAGCCACTCAAATTGTGCCTGTACAAGCAACAGCCATAGCTTGCACCTTCTGATACCCAAGGTCCATTCCTAAAGGCCTAAGAAGAGCAATTTTCATGTGAGAGGAATGACTGAGGCTCAGCCCTGACCCTCTTTCATCTCCAGTAACACCTCCCTTCATAGAATCATTAATGTTGGAAAAGTCCTCTAAGATCAAGTCCAACCATCAGCCCAACACCACCATACCCAGGAAACCATGTCCTGAAGTGCCACATCCACACATTTTTTGAACACCTCCAGGGATGGGGACTCCACCACATCCTGGGGCAGCCCCTTCCAGTGCTTGACACCCCTTTCAGTAAAGAAATTTTTCCTAATATCAATCTAACCCTCCCCTGATGCAACTTGAGGCCATTTCCTCTTGTTCTATCACTACTTACACGGGAGAAGAGACCAACACCCACCTCACTACAACCTCCTTTCAGGTAGTTGTAGAGACCGCTAAGGTCTCCCCTCAGTTTCCTCCAAGCTAAATAATCCCAGTTTGCTCCCCACAGAGGCCCCAGGACTCGCACA